TTCCGGTTTTAATCATTCGATCATATCACAGGAATTTACTAATGGGAGTGCAGGTGAAACAACTGGTAATTTAAGACGCGAAACTAAATAGCTACTGATAGAAGACATGGAACTAACAAGGCATTTCCACCGTTCGAGAAGAGATTACTGCTTATATCCCAGAATGTAGGGCAAACTACCCTATTCTGTGGAATATAAGGCGCTCGTGTCTATAAGATAGCACCTCGGCCTCGAACGCAGCGAATGTTTTGCGCGAAAAAAGTGAATTATTAGTTCCACCACTTTAATGATCATTAATTCAGTTTGAAAATTATTTCGTCTCGCTAACTTACCGATGCTACCATCAATATTCAATTCCATGACGCGCTGTTGCGTGAGATTCTGCGACCTTGCAAACAGATGAGTCTCATAACCCACGAATTCTTTTGACTAGGTAATCCAAAACTATGGCAATAAAATAATAACGAAAGAAAAAAACAATTTCAGAAAGAAAATGACGAACCTGTAGGTTTTTCTATTTCAAACAAGACTTGGTCTGTGTCCAGATCTCTAATCTTGAATCTAGTGAACTCTATGTCATAAATGTTGGCTGATGGCTTGCACAAATAATCTGAAAACATATGCTCATAAGATCAATGACGTGCGCCGCTAACCCCTTCATTATGTCCCTGGGTGCTTGCAAAAGAAGTACTCAAGCATAACATTGCTTCTACAAAAAACTAATCCTCTAAAAGGAGCACTTGGCCTCTATGCTATGCCTCAAGCTATCAAAATAGTCCTGAGGGCAGTTCCGCGCAGGGTAGAGCATCGTGATGTGTGAAATGGTGGTGTAGGTACAACCCCCCCCCCTTAGAGAGGGGGGTGTCAGTACGACCCCTGGGTCTCGGTACGAACCACCCCCCCCCTGCCCAACACCTACCTACCACTTGCCAACATTTTCCAGTTTCCCACCAAAACATTTTCCGTCGAGCGGGGCGGAGGGGTATATAGCACACATGAAACAGGAAAAATTAACAACCTTTTTTCCAAACGCATCAAACTTCTCTCAAAGGCAAATACGACCCCCTTCCTCTCCCATCAACCAGATAGGACCCCCTCCCTTTCCAGTGGAGAAGTACAATCCCCTATGTGTTTCACACCACGATGCTGTACCTTTGTTTCGCGACGTGTGGCGTGAGGGTGAGGGGGAAGGGAAACTTGCTGCACTTTTCTTACTTCGCATCGCCTTGTCGATCCATCAAGTAGAGATTTTTAAAATCATATGAAGCTATGTACCAGTCAAAGTTACTTGGCAACTCTTGCAAAGCAACGAACATGACAAGAGAAGCAGCAAAAGTGCAAAGTGCTTCCACTGCCCCCCCCCCTACGCCGAACTGCGTCAAATCTTGCAGTAAGAAATAAGGGAAATATTGAAGGATAGCGGTTACCTTGAGTAATGGAGTTGAGCTTTAACACGTCTTCAGGTCGTACCACTTCAGCCGCTCGTAGATCAGCTTCACTAGTTAGATCAGCCTCTTGCCGAACTTCTGATAGCATACCCGCTCTGAAACGTGAAAAAATAGAACGTTTTTGATGGCGGAATGGTTTGTAATGCAAACGAGTCGCATAAAATAGGTCAACACTTGCAAATACAAATTGTTTGATGTATCAAAGGGCTTTTTCGTCAAAGCAATGAATCCAGATTAAGTCCCCAAAGAAAAGAATGGAAAAAGCGCACGTCGTTAGGTCAGTGAAAATGATGAACGCTGTTTTCCGCTTCGACTAAATGAGAAAAGAAGGAAAAAAAGCATAAAATAATAGAGATAAAAGGCAACCAAAAACTTTCCTCAGCCGATCTTTAAGCACCAATAAGCCCAAATCTCACCTTATTTACACAACCCCGCCCTTCTTAACATATAATGAAGAAGCTGATAACTCTTTGCATGAAGACGTAGGCAACGTAAGGTGCAAACCTTGTTAAGGACCGAGGAAACCAGCGCTAAAGTGTATCAAAATGAATAACAGGAATGGAACCACAATTTGTTGTTTTACAGTATAAATGGCCTCACCGGAAGATTCTCTCATTGAAGATAACACTGTAACTCGCACATCGAGCATTAAATAAAAAATGTCACAGAACGGAGGAATAAAATAACCCCCCCGTCGTCCACCAGCCAAATGTAATCAAATAGTGCACCGACGGCACTGAAGGGGCGGATTACGGCGGTGGGCTGGCTCATGAGGTGTTTTTACGCTCTGCAAGCTAGCGCGCTTCTCTCTGGTAGTCTGGATCGAAATCACGTTGTTTTTTCCTTAGCAATCGTACAAGACGAAAACAACCAGCAGAGCAATTTCTAATTTCCGTTTGCTTGGAGGAAAACCTGCTCAATTGAGCGAAAACACGCTATAGAGCAGAAGTTCGTATCGATTGCGTGTGTAGTGGTCGTCAACTCATTGTGCTCGCACAAGCTATGTGACACACGCAATGTCCGTTGACCGCATAGAAATACGGGTGACTACGTATAACTAACGTTTAACAGCCAGTCATTGAAAATAAGGCGTTGTTCGGCTTGGGAGGGGTATTTCACACGTTCGCTACTTTGCTAGTTCTTGTTGAATTACATGTCACACCATGGTATGATCTGTAGATTCTTGTCAAATGTAACTAAGCTCCTGCTATCACATAGTTTTACAGGGAGAACGCAGGACCCCACAGTAGGCATCCCCAAGATTTGGCAAAATACCACACTGCTCCTAGAATTAGACCCCAGCACATTTCGATTGCTATTACTTTTCCAATTTTGTCCAGAATTTCCAAGAAAATCCACAAAAATGCCAAATTATATTATAAAGCGGTATTACGCACCCGTAATTTGAGGAGCATCTCTAATTCTTCTACCACCGTAATTCAGGCGGAGAAATTGATTAGTCGGCGGAAAATGGGTGCAATTCGGTGCTAGCAGGATGACGGCATGTCGATGAGAAAAAAACATCAATCAGCAGAGTTTCCCCTTTTCACGACCTTTGCGCTAATACAACCTCAGTTCAACCTATATGCGTAGATACTTTCCCATACCCTCCACTACCCAGGAAAAAAAGTGCTGGCAAGGTAAGTGCGTGGATACTTTCCCAAGGCGTGAAAAAACTCCCTTCAGCTTTCGACCGCCTCAAGAGAGACGCTGAAATCTCTACTTTCGAATATATTGAAATTCCTGTCCGCTTTTATATCAGA